TTTTTTTTTTTTTTTTTGTTTGTTTGTTTTTTTTAGCTTTTGGGTCATTTTGATGTAATGTAAATAGACCATCTTGATTTCTGAACTTTGGAGATACATATTAATGGAATCTTCTGTATCTATAGGGTGTGGAGTTCTTTGACGAAAAGCTGAATTCTTTATGTATGGCCTGGCTTGTGGACCATGGTGAGTAAGTTAAACACAGATTACTATGGAAGGCCTGTGTGTTTGTGTACATCCATTTTGTTCATAGGTTTCCTTTTTTGAAAGGAATCCTCATCTGATCAGACATTTAGCCTTACCTCTGTAGGGATGAAGAAAGGCTTCAGTTAGAGTCTAGTTAGCTCCCCTTGAACACGAGCTTGACGTTTTTATTTTCTGCCAATTTCTTTTTATCTTAAATTTTATCTTCTTCATTAAACAATCTCTGCCCTGTTTCCTAGACATTCTGTTAGGTTATTTTCAAACTATCTTTTTTAACCCTACACTCCTTCCTTGTCCCAAGGGCCTTTGGTAGAACATGGTACTCTAGTTTTCGGCTCCTATAGATCCGGTGGGGTAGGGATTGGAATCTGATGAAAGGCCCAGGGGGTAGAAGTGGCTGCTTGGCTTCTTTGAGGTCACATAGGGAAGGAGGTATTCAGGGGCGGGGTCTCGGAGTGGAAGACATCAGCTGTGACTTGGGGGGGGGGGTGGGCACCCGGATTTCCGCTTTTGATGAGAGGTAAGCTTATTGTTCCCTGGCAGCTGGTGACGCCTCGAGCTCAGGCAGGTCAGGTGGAGCACCTGTTTTAGAGAATAGGTTTTGAAATAACTTATCTTCTCTGTGTATTTGTAACATCATTCAGCAATCACAGAATCCTTTTCTTCTCAGCGCCACAAACTCACTGAAAGCTCGCGCTGCTGCATATCAAAATATCAAGGCAGTGGATGTTTTCTGTGAAACCACCTTACACGTTGACTCTTTGCTAAGGTCTCAGGTGCATGTATCTCCTCTGGTCTGCTAGGCAGCTATGCGGGGGAGGGGTGCCCTCTGTACCCATGACATTCACAGCTAGGCCACATGTCCAGGCCTGGCAGCTTCAGTGTGGCCTGACACCTGTTCATATGAGGGCTCTGGGGGCTTATAAAATAAGCAACTTTGGTTGCATATTTTGGTGGATATGATAGGCATCTTGTTTCAGTACCGTAGCATCTTATATGTCCTGTATGTACTCAGGATCTCTGCTCATCTGCAGTGCTTCTGCCTGGGTATTTGGAAGGAGGGGGAAGCTTGTGTCCGCTTGTATGTGGAAGTGGTTGCTCTAAGGGCATGTTTCGGTCATGTGGGAGGTTAAATAGCTAAGAGAGTGAAGAGGAGGGTGTGAAGGAAATGTGCAAATCTTGTGAAAGCATATACAAGTAACTTTAGCGTTTTCAACCTAAATGTGAAGACTATTTTCTTGTCCTCTAAGGTTACCTTTTTATGGCTAATTTATTTTTTTCTTTTTCTTTTAATTTCTTTTCTTTTATTATTATTATTATTTTTTTTTTTTATGATGATTTTTTGAGACAGAGAGAGAGATAAAAGCATGAGCGGGGAAGGTCAGAGGAGAGGGGGAGACTGGGGATCGAAAAAGGCTCCAGGCTCTGAGCTGTTAACTTTAGAGAGCTATTACAGGCAGCGAACTCCGCGGGACAGCGCTTGAAGAGATCATAAGAGCTGGAGCTGAAGTCGGCAACAACGACTAAACCACCCAGAAGCTATTTTCTTTTTAAATGAAACTTAAGCTTAGTGTCATTAGGAAATTTCTCTCCTTTTTGAAAGAAAATGTTTATTTCTCATAGATATTTAATGTTAGTGGAAGGCATCAACAGGTCATTCATTTTTTTTTTTTGAAACTTTTGCATTCTAAGTGCAAGGATCTTTTTTTTTTTTTTAATTATTTTTACTGTTTATTTATTTTTTTTTTTATTTATTTTTCAATGTTTGTTATTTTAGGACGAGAGAGAATAGAGCATGAACGGGGGAGGGTCAGAGAGAGGGAGACACAGAGGTGGAAACAGGCTCCAGGCTCTGAGCCATCAGCCCAGCCTGGCCTTGGGGCACCGAACTCACCTGGACATGAGATGGTGACCTGGCTGAAGTCGGACGCTTAACCGACTGCGCCACCCAGGCGCCCCATTACTGTTAATTTTTTAGAGAGGGGGGAGAGAGAGAGACACAGTGCCAGCAGGGGAGGGGCAGAGAGAGGGAGAGACAGGATCTGAAGCAGGCTCTAGGCTCTAAGCTGCCTCAACACCTGAAGAGCTCCCGGCGCGCTGGGCTCAATTACAGACACCGTGAGATCATGACCTGAGCCCGAGGGGAGTCCGGACGACACGTCTCAACCGACTGAGCCACCCAGGTACCCCAATTCTGAGGAACTTTTCAAGTCCTAATGTTCCACAGAGAATTGAATTCCTGACATCCTTTCCATGTAAGATTGTACTGTCTGTGCAAGTCAGTTGTTGTTTTCTCAGTGCTCGGATTTTTTCCCTCCCAGTTGGGGAGTAAGGGGGACCCTTCGCCCTTTTTTCTGCAGCGGCACACTAGCATGCTAAACTTAAGGCATTGTAAGCGTTCTTTGAATCAATGAAATGTCAGTTCTGTAGTTGTTCTGTATGTAATTAATCACATGGGATTTTGTTGTTTGGTTTTGTTCTGCATTTTAGACTAACTGCTGTGTAGTGATCACTGTTCAGTTACATTTTTGAAGCTTTTTTCCTGCTTACTAAACTACTGCAAGAATATTGTGAAAGTCCAGATTAATATAAAGGAGAAAGGGTCATCACTTTTTCTGAGGTTGAGTGGACAGTATTGATCAGGGGGAGGGATCTAGAAGGGGAATGGATTTCTTACAGAAGGGGGCAGGCATCAGAGTGAGCACATGGAGGGTGTGAGGCATTCGGAGGGACCCTTGAGGGGAAGGGGAGAGAGACGAAACGACGAGAGCCAACTGGCAGAACTCTGGAATGGTTTGCGTTCTTGTGGCACAAAATTCAGAGGAGCCAGGACCATCGCGGGCGTCTGCCAGGTCCCGTTGAGTACAGCTGAGGTCAGGGCCCAGGCTGAGTGTGTGCGCCGTCTCTGCTTACTCCGGCAGTGAGGTCCCTTCCTATGGTAATGGCGTGATGATGAGAAGGATGTCGAGCAGATTGAACAACAGAATCAGACAAGACACAGATGCTCTTGGTGGTTCCACCATAGCGGGGGAGACGGGGAGGGGGTTGTGCGAAACGCGAAGGCTCTGAATGTGGAGGGAATTGGGGTCTTGGGGCGCGGGTAGAAAAGTTGGCTTGAGCGCGCTCCACGAATGCTTCTGGCTGTCACTGACAGGTTGCTTCTCCCATAGACCTTGGTCAGGTTTCATATTGGTAATAAATTATGTACTTTCTTGGCTGCGCGGTCCTTCCTGTTGGCCTCAGTTGGCACTGCCTGAGGATCTGCTCACTGGGAAGAGTTGGGTGTTTTCTGTCCAGAAGCCTCACATAAATCTTCCAGGGCTGGGGCTGTGGCTTGGATGGCTACCCTTGCCTGTCCCGTTACCCAGGAGGGTTAGGCCTGCCTAGGGAGAGAAGTAGAATAAGGAGTGCGTGCCCCCTGCCCTGGACTCATCTGAGCCCCAGCGCGGCGTCCTCCGGGACCTGCGAGATGCAGTAGCACCAGACCTGACTTTGGTCAGTGCTGTGCGCAGCAGCGAGTTGTTGAGGAGGTAGTAGCTCAGGCCTGATCATCTAGATTGACGGTGTCCTCGATAAATGATCTTACAGGGAATTCTTAGACGTTAAAGCGGGCGGTCATTCACAAAAGACGTTGACATGCTGTTGCACCATCAACATTTTAAGGGCAGAGAGGCAGGTCGTCGGAGGTTTTCATTTGCTGTCATGCAGGGGGCCACACTGGCCTCTAAGCGACCTCCTTGCTGGCCTTGTGTCCCCAGCTGTTGTTGTCGCTGCTGGAATAATCTTGCTTAAATACCACAGTGGTCATCAGGTTACAACTTTGCCTTAAAAACTCAGCGTTTTTCTTACAGGGTCTAAATTTAGCTCTCCAGGTGCTGTGTGTTCCAGGTCCCCCCTGACTCTCCGACCCGATGGCTTGCTGAGTGCCGTTAGTCTCCTTTGTACCCTGGGTCCATTTGTGCCCACCAGGAATTCCTCCCTCCTCTCTCTGCTTACACAAATCCTCCTCAGTCTTTGAGGTCCACAGCAAGTCGTCTCTTCCCTGACGCTTCCCAGACCTCCCTGTTCTTATTTCTCTCCACTGAGGTACAGCCCTCAGGACCTTTGCTACACACTTTCATTCTATGTCAGGGTCCGTCTTCCACCATGTGACTTGTCGGCCCGCGTTAGCTTACGTGTCTGATAGAGCACGTGATCTTTGAGGGGAGGGAGCGTCTGTTTTCTTTCCGGATCACCTGGCACGTAATAGGCACTAGAACGAGCTCCCTACCTCCTTTGTCTTGGACATAGGGCACATCTGTAAACTATGATAAGACCAAGTCAGTATATCATGAGTCACATCTGAGCATGTTTGCCAGTGTAGTACAACTAAATTGGGAGTGTTGGGAGGGTTTGGTTTTTGGTCCCCTTGGCTGACGATGTGAGTGAACGGGGCTGTGCTCCTGACGTAAGTTTCGTGACCGTGTGCTCTGCGCCTCTGCTGCCAGTGTATGCTATCCGCGAAGCCGCCACCAACAACCTCATGAAGCTCGTTCAGAAGTTCGGAACAGAGTGGGCCCAGAACACCATCGTTCCCAGAGTGTTAGTCATGGCGAACGATCCCAATTACTTGCACAGGATGACCACCTTATTCTGCATTAACGTGAGTCTTCCGCAGGATTATTGCTAAGCTTAGGCGGTAAGCAGATTTGTGGGGCTGTCGTTCGGAATTCTGAACAATCTGTTTCTTATACCGATTAACTTGGACGGTTGACGAGAGAAAACATCCGTTTTTAAATTCATGGTAAAATGTGCAGGAGTCCGGTCAGCCGGGAATTCCGGTTTAACCGAGTTTTCCAGTGCTCCTTTGTATCCCGCATTCAGAGGTGCAAACGAGAAACCTTTTCCTGCAGGTCAGTTACTTTCTTATTAAACGTTAATTTGTTGTCTCAGATTTGGGGATATTTAAATACATGAGAAAGTGTTTTAAGTGCGCTCTCTTAATTCTTTTTCTAGGCGCTGTCTGAAGCCTGCGGTCAGGAAATAACCACGAAGCACATGCTGCCCGTTGTACTGAAAATGGCAGGAGACCAAGTGGCGAACGTCCGTTTCAATGTAGCCAAATCTCTTCAGAAAATTGGACCAGTTCTGAACACTGAGTAAGACTTGAGTATTACTCTGGTTTAAGAAGTAGATTTAAATTTTTACCCTCTCGTGGGGAGTTAGAGCAAAAATTAAGGTCAGTGATTTTCCCTTTACCTGAGATAGGGGTTTGTGTAAAGATGATCATTTAACAACTGTGTCTGAAGTGTTCACTCCGACTTCTACATTGAAGCTACTGTGTGATTTTGTATGCTAATGATTGCAACAGCAGATCGTTGTCTGAAGCTATTGAGGATTTTTGCGATTACCTAGTTAGTATCCAGAAATTGCCTAAAGAATTAACTTTTTAAAAATTTTAAACTTTCAAAATTACCATAGAACGTGTATATCCTAGAGCCTTTATGTGGCTCAGAGGACTGCCTTTCACAGACAATCCTGTTGGATTTCAGTGCTTTGCGGGAGGAAGTGAAGCCAGTACTGCAGAAGTTGGGCCAGGATGAAGACGTGGATGTCAAGTACTTCGCACAGGAAGCTATAAGTGGTAGGCCTTTCTGTTTCCGTCTTGCACCTCGGGCTTTGGCTGCGGGGGTGGGCATGAGCGAGGTGGGCAGGCCATGGTGAAGGGGAGCGGAGGGCCGAGAGCGTCTACAACGCCTGGGCCCCTGGCCCCTGTAGAACCTTTTTGGCCCACCGCTGAGCAGGCCATTTTCTTAGTCCCAGGGATCGGGCTGGGCGGACTAGGATTCTCACTGGTAAGAACAGTTTGTTGTCTGGATTATAATGGTTTTAAAGTTTAACTTGATGAGCCTGGCAGAGTAAAGAAACTGACCACGGTGAGAAGTTAACCATGTCATGCTTTTGGGTCATTGTTGGCATAGTGAACATTCACATAGATAGTTCATGAACTTTCTGTGCCACTAACTTGATTCTGTTTGGAATTTTCCAGTGCTTGCATTGGCATAATGAGGAACAGGAGGGAAAAGACTTTACTAAATTCTTATCACAGATTTCTAGTCAATGTGTTCTTATGCTGGGTGGACACAGAGTGGAAAACCTTCAAGACTTCAAGCAAATGGCAACAACTTACAAGAGATCAAATTTCAGTGACTTGATTCTTTCTGAAGACGAAATGGGATTGTCTGTCTCTTCACTTTTGGGATAATTACATTTAATGCATTCTTCTTGTTTGTGACCAGTTCCTGACCCTTGGTCGGTCATTTCTTGATTGTCTCCTAATGATTATCCGGCACCATCGGGGCTCCCGCACGCTTGCTGTTTGTTTGGTCAGGCCCCGGCCACTTACTGTCTCCAACCACGTCTGGATGGGATTGGACCCAGACAAGGATTGGAGTGATTCTCTTGATGTTTACATGTATCTGTGTGTGTCTCCCTCCATGATTCCAAAGTTAAATGTACATGATTTGGAATACCTTATTTTATAAACACTCTGGGAGCTACACTGAGATGTCACCTAGTGAAAGCCACATATTCCTGGATACTGATGGTCTGCGTTAGTGTCTCCCATTAAAGGGGAGTGTGGAAGCTCAGGGTTCACGTAGAGGTTGTCTTGGGGTTTATTTGCTTGATTTTTGCTGTAATCATGTCCTTCGGAAACCTGAAACACAGATGCCACTTGGTGCTGGCAGGGTGTTGGAAGCTGACTGAATTTCAGTGGCTCACCATGGCAACTGCATTCAAACACCGCTCCTTAGCTCCCTCCCCCCACCTCCTTTCCTGGTCTCTCCACCAGAAGCTTAAAACTTAGTGCCTCCTAACAAGCAGTCGTTGTACTGCTTCGTTGTAAGATTGCCCTTTGTGTGTCTGCTGAGTAGAGAAACCACTGGTCGGCTTCTGGGAGGGATTCCTGCTCTCTAGCTGGCTCCGCTTTCAGCTCTGCTGACGTCTGGTCCTCGCTGCCTTGTGCCGCCGGTAGCTACCAACTGAAGCTTCCTTCCTAACGTCTTGGTGTGGGTGACCCTGGAGACTTACCGTTTGAAATGTTTGTGTTTGTACTTTACGGTAAAACCTCGTTAATTTCTCCTGGAATTTAAGGTAATGAGCCAAGCCGAAGGGTTTGCTGAAGCAAATGAATACTAGGTCAGGAAACCCATTGTATCTGAACTACTTAAATCTTTTTAAAAAGCTCTCTTTAAAAAGCCCCCTTTATCCAATTGATAGCCAGTTGATATGCCAGTTACTGATCACTCTTTTCAGTTTTATTAAAAAAACTTCCATGAGGATCGTTATGGGTTACACCTTTTTTTTAGATGTATTCATTTTACTCTACGTCCCTGAAATATTTATGTATTTCACCGAGAATATTGATACTTTTTCTTTGAGATTTCAAACTCGCCTTGTCCTAATAATTTTAATTAATGACGTGTCATTGTAGCTTATGTTTTGCTCCTCGTATGTTGCTGTGTGGTTTGCTTGTTTCTGTTTGGGTTTTTGAATTGTTTTCTTTCACTCACAACCTTGTGTAAACCCAGCGAGCCCTGTCCTGCTCCGTGAAGGTGAAGACTTACTATAAAGGTCTGCACATGAAACCATTATGTAAAAAACCAAGTTGGACCAAATGCTTCCAGGTTTGTCATACCTTAGGTAAACAGAACCTGACTCAGACATTATCGGCCTGCATTTGAAACTGCCAGCTGCCTTCTAGGAAGTTTCTGTTTTATTACTTTTTGGGCCAAGGATTAAATCTATTGCTATGCAAAAAATTTTCCTGCATTCTCATTTTAATGTCTTTACTGTTACGCTGTAAACACTTTAATTTTAGTTTGATGGTTCTTTTTGTTCTCTGCAGGCTGTGTTCCACTTGGCGAATTGCATATTTGAGAGGCTATTGTCTCGGATTCTTGATTCTTGAAACAAAGTCACACAGCTATTGCTTTACTCTTTGGTTGGGAATGCCATTGGTTTGGGGACAGACTTTTAAATGCCTTTTAGACTTTAAGTGTACTCCTGGGGAGCCCTGAGCACTGGCCTCTCCCTCCAAGACTGGTCAAGAGGAGACAGAAGCCCTTGATTTCTCAAGCATGGGTCTGGGAGCTAAGCAGGGCTCTGTCATTTTGGGTGACCCCGTAGGGACTTGATTGACTTTCTGATTAAGTGATAGGGAATCCCTTCTGTTACTCAGGGGAGCTGTTCTCTGGCTCATAACTGGTCATATTGGCCATGGGTTACTTTTCTTATCTTGATTTCATTAGAATGTCAGCTCCAGAAGCTCTGGAAAGGCAGGGATTTTTGACTATTTTTTTGTCTTCTCCTGTATCGCCAGCACCTAGATCAGTGTCTGGCCTAACTGAAGGTGCTCAATAAAAACATGTTGAATGAATTTCTAAAACCTGTCCTCTGATGTGTTGCGTGCGAAGAACGTGTTGTCGAAGGTACCAGACTGCGTCTCCTTCTCCCGCTGGCCCAGGAAGGACTGTACCACTCTTACGCGAGGGTTGGGCCCCCCTTCCTCAGGCCCCACTTTGGCAGCGGCCCCGCTGGGGTTTGCGTGATGGCCCCCAGTGTACATTGCCTGGGAGGAGCGTAGTTTTTGTCCTGCCCCCTTGGCGTCCGTTCAGTTAGGGAGGAGAGTGGAGCAGAGACAGAACAGGCTTATGCCAGCATAGCGGTCCCCTCATCCACGGGATTCATCTGTGTGTTTCTTCCCGCGTTTGTGTGGCTTCCCCGTCACAGGATCAAGAGGCCAGATCCTGTTTCTCTGCGCTGCTGCGAAGACAGCAACCTGAGGACGCGTCCTGTTTCATGAGAACGAACAGCTCAGTGTGTGGTTTTTGACAAGGGCTTGTTGCAGTGATGGCCCTTGGCTCATGGAGGTGCCACGGCTTGGCCCCGGGGTGCGGGGCCCCGGGGTCTTTGCTGGACGGCTCGTCCTGATCAGCACAGCGGCCCGACCTTTGAGATGTCTGGTCCAGGCCTCCGGGGTGCTCACTCAGACCTTCGGGGAGAACGGACGTGTCATTCCTGACGCAGAGGGGAGCCGCAGCGGTGCGTCCTCGGTGTGGGGTTACCCGTCACCATGTGGCCGCGGAGTGGAAAGTCGATGCTTTCCTGGAGCACTCACATGCCGGTGGCCCCCCAGGGACGGTGGGGCAGGGCCGCCAAACTCGCTGGGTGCGCGGCCCGCCTTCTTCGCATATGCTAACGCGGCGGCTCTGGTCCCCGATGCTCTTCTCTTGAAGCACTCCATCGGCTTCTGGAGCCCAGAAAGAGAGCAGAACGCCGCCTCCTAGTTTGAGGACCAAGTCCTTGTCTTGCCCGGTGATGGGATTGTCTCCCTGGGATTTGTGTCACCATGCATCATCAGGGAGCCTTGCCCTCTCTCCCGGGCTCACTCATGGCTGGCAGACCTTTTATGCCTGCAGTGGTCCCACTATTCCCCGTTCGCCTCCATGAGCCTCCTGATTCCAGGAAACTTCACCAATGTTAGGTTGGGGCGGCGGTCTTCTGGAGGAGGGGCGATTGACCACTTTGGGTAGTGAAGCCGACTCCTTCCCTTCTCCAGGTCTCTGAAGCTGACCCTCCCACTTCTGAGAGGAGCCTGGTCTTTTCTGTCCGGCCGGGGCTCTGCAGTGACCCGCCCGTGTGAAACACCAGCTGGCACCGGAGCCCATTAGAGGTGGCGGCTCTGTATGAGGGCCAGACACCTTCAGTGAGTTCTCTTGCCCGGTGCTTCCTGGGCCCGGGTCCCCGGGGCCGTAGCAGCAGTCTTTAAGGGCAGGCTGGGGGAGGAGGAGGTGGGGGGGGGGGTCCTGGCTGGGACGTGCTGGCGGGTGGGGCCCCAGGGCCGGTTATGGGACTGCCGTCTGTGTCTCCAGTGGTGGCCCAGAGGCTGAGGAAGTCAGACTTCCCTGCGAAGGACACTGAGGAGCCCAGCGCTCCTGGGGCCGACAAGAACCGCTTCCTGAGAGCCAGAGGGCCCGAAGAGGACCCAGGAAAGGTAAGTGCCACGGACACCTGGGCTGCGGGTGCGCGTGCAGGGTGGCCAGCGTGGCGTGGTGCTGCAGCAGGGGGACGCAGAGTGGTACCTTTAATTCTCTTCAGGAGACTGATTTTTTCGGCCAACGGAGTGTGGTTTTAAAGCCTGTTGCCCTCCTCCTTGTCCTTCCTTCGGAGGGGCGGGGTGGGCTCTCCAGAGCTCTGGGGCTCCTGTGGCCACAGGCCTCCCGGCCGCCCTCCCCGGCAGAGGCAGCGAGGCTCACACAGAGGACGGGGTGGTTGGTGGAGTCGCCTCGGGAGATGCGGGTTGTTCCCCCTCCCGTCAGAGACTGGTGGCCATTCTCACTTGCTACGGCTCCTCTCAGGCGGTTCTCTCCATTCAAGGGAAGCACCATGTCTGTCGCTTGCACTGTGACGGGGCCCCAAGCCCCGTTTGATGTCTGTCTAGGGGAGGTATACGGGAATTTTCAGCTTGAGAGTAACTGCTCATTAATCGAAACTGGTGCCAGCGCCTGCTCTGGGGCTTTTTGTTGGGAGCGTGGTGGTGTATGGCTCACAAATCCAGCTGACTTGGAACAACACGGGTTGGGGTGCTGACCCCGCCCCCTCGGCCCTGCACAGTTGAAACTCCACATAGAACTTTGGACCCTCCAAACGTAGCTACTGATAGCCTTCTGTTGACCGGAAACCTTGCCGACGACACCAGCAGTCGACGAACACGTATTTTGTGTGTATGTGTATTATTTCTTACAGCCAGGTCTGCTAGAGAGGAGAACGCGTATTAAAACCCTAAGAGAGGGAACTACACTCACACTGGATTTAGGGGAAAGCCTGCGTGTAAGTGGACCCGCGCGGTGCCCACCCCGTGTGTTGGGGCAGAGGCCTCAGCCGCCCGCTCTTGAGCTCGGGCTGTGTGTGGTGGGTTGGGCACACATCGGCCTCCTCATGCCTGCTGTGGTGGGTTTGCTTGGGGAACATTCTGACCTGGAAAGCTTGCCTTCCGAATCTCCCTGGCTTCTCTCTCGTTCTAAGTAGACTGAGGCCACGAGAATTTGGTCCTGTTGTCCAGGCCCCGAACTGCAGTCCTTCACCGTAGCGTGTTCTCCATTTCCTGTGGGCTGGAGCTGCCAGGCATGCCCGGTTCGGGCAGCTGCCCCCCACCCCCCGCCCCGCCCTGCCCCGCCAAGCTGTCGTGGTGGTGGCTGCACCCCGGGCTGCGCTGGGGGACAGTGTCGTTCACGGCTGCAGCCGGCCACGGGGCCCCGACACGCGCCTGAATGCTCGGCCCTTTGTGTCTCACGGAACTTGGCCTTTGGGAAGATGCCTTCACCGAAGGGGCAGGACTGAGTCACATATTTTTAGGCCTATGCCACAGCCTTGCTTGGGAAGAAAGGTGTTACGTGTTTTCCTACAAAGTCAGGGGCAACTGGCCGTGCCACTGAATAAATGCAGCGTGCACGTCTGACCTGAGCGTGGGACGCTGGAGGCGACCTCGCCGTGGCCGACCTGCTCGGCTAAGTCGGCAGCCCCGCGATGGCCGCGTTAGCTGTCGTTCCTTGAACTTCGGGCCTCGCGAACTGTGCGGACTCTCCTTCGGTCTTCACGGCCCTGAACGGGAGGTGCCGTTGGCTCCGTTTGTCGGCGGGTTGTGAGCCTCCCCCCAAGTCCTGTCTACTTCGGGGTCTCCTGGCATTGGAGGCTGCTGAGGTTGCAGATCACTGAACCCAGAAATACCCCCTGCCTTCCCTGCGTTCGTTTCTCTGAAGGAAAATGACCTGAGGGTGAGATGGAAGGAACTGAGTGTTGCCAGGCAGAGCCCTGCGTGTCAGGGGCCGGCAGCCAAGTGAGTGATCCAGGAAGTCATCCAACGCAAGCCAGAAATTGTTCTTAACCCCTCCCTCGCCGTCCGTGCCACTGGCCGCCCGGGTCGGCCTTGGGGCCTGGCGGGAGCCGTGGGGCATCCCTGTCGCCTGGGACGGGGGAGGGGAGCCCGAGGCCAGAGCCGGTTCGGTTCCTCTGGTCGCAGGGTGCCCGCTCGGCCCTGTGCCTGCAGAGCAGATGTCTGTGCTGGACGTCACCCGTGCCCCCTCCGCGCGGGACCCGCCGGGGAACAGCGTGGCCGCCTCGAGCTCCCGGCCCACCCCAGGTGCGCTCAGCTGCCTGGTCGTCGTGGCAGTGGCAGCGGCCGGGCCGTCCCCCTCCTGCCGGGCAGGGCTTCCCTCCAGGACGCTGTGCGGTCACCCTGCGGTTGCCCTGTGGTGATGGGGCTGCCCTCCGTCAGGCGAGGGTTAACACAGGATTTGTTTATTGAATCACAAAGTAGCCGTCACATGATTTTAATCAAAACACCATTTCCCTGACAACAGTGATGTCAGTCTTGTTATTGCAGGAAGGAGCAGCTGTGAGGGACATTCGGTCTCCACGCGGCCGGGTTTGGAGACTCAAATCCAGGGAGGCATCCGTAGATAATGGTTGCGGGCGCCGACGTGCCGAATCCTCTTCTTCCTCCGCTCCCCTCGGTCCAGCAGTCCGTCCGGCACAGATCCCTCCTCCTGCACCCCTTTCTCCTTCCGCTCTTGTTTCCACTTGTGGTTTTCCCAGCTTTCCTGATTTCCCCCAGACTTCGCGTCATCTGGGCCCCGAGGACCTCTGGCCTGTCTTCCGTGCTCAAACTGGGCAGCTCCGGCTAGCCTGAGGTGGGGCCACCGGGCAGCTCAGTTGTCTGGGCTCTTGGGGCCAACCTCTTGCCTGTTCTGTCCTCATTCCCCCCGCCCGAGAGCTGCCTGGGGGCCTCCTGGGCCATCTCAGGAGCTCAGCTCTGGATGCCTGGAGGAAAGAGGCCCGGAGAGGCTGCCGGAGGCCTGGGCGTGGAGGACGCACGCAGGAGACGAGCTCAGGAGGCCGGTTGGAGCTCTGGCCTCTTCCTGGCACCATCCCCACTGCTGGAGCTTGGGGCCGTCTGTCCCTCTGCCCAGGGGCTTGGCCTGAAAGTTGCAGGTGGATGACAAAGGCCTTCTTCTGGGTGGGATGTGGCTTCTCGTGGATGCTCTTCCGGCTGTGGGACCTGTGGCTGGTGCTGCCCAGAACTCATGACCGAGAGTGGAGGAATCCAGGAACCAAAGTTCTCGGTTCTCAACCTGGAGCAGGTGCTCAGAATCGGGCAGCCACCCTCGGCCAGTGCCGAGGTCTCCCAGGTGTCCCACGCCCATGTGGGAGTCTGCTGTTGGGGGGTGAGGAGCTCAGCGAGAGCAAGACGGGTGGAGGGGAGACTGTATGACAAGCTGTTGAGGGGCTTTCTGCTTGGAGGGCCCGGCCCCCCTTGACCCTCACAGTAAAGCTAGGAGTTAAATCAGCTGGTGCGTGTCCCCGAGTTAGTCCTGGGAACGAGCCTTTGCCATGATGTGCTCAGGACCCTGGCGGGGCTGGCAGTGGTGTCTTGCCACCTCCCATGCTGTCTCTGGCACTGTCCGATGTCCCCTATCCCCGGCAGGCGCCGCTCTGCCTGGAGGGCCTTTCTGGTCGGGGGTGGGGACTCCAGCAGGTGAGCCTGGGGAAGCAACGCCCTGTTCTCCTGGCCGGGCCCTTCGGTCCCTGGGGCCTCTCTGCTGGCACAACGACCCTGCCCAACATGTGGGCTTCTCTGGTGACTCCAGGACAGCTCCAGTGGGTCTCATGCTGAGGAGGTGCCTGAGACTTCAGGGTCCCCTGCATGGCGTGCTTCTCGGAAAGGCCTCGGGGCCTCCTCCTCCATTCAGCTGGGCCCCACTCGCGGCTGCGCAGTGGCCCTGGCACAGTAACGGACTCAGTCCTGAGGGTCGGCACCCTCAGACCCGTCCCCTTACGGCATCTCAGGCCTCATTATTTCCTCCTCCTCTTTGAGGAGCAGGGAGAGATTGAGTCGGAAACTCTCAAAGCCACCCCGATGCGGAGCTTGACCGGACTCCGCCTGCGAAGGAGCACGGGCGTGGGGTGCGAGGCCTTCCGTGCCTGGGCAGGGCCCAGACGTGTGGCGATGGTGGCGTGCTGGTGAGTGGACTGCAGACACCGTGTCCCTCTGCAAAGTGCAGGCAATGTTGGTGAGTCTCAGCCCCCACCGGGCCTGGCAGAGACCCCGGGTCTGGGGTTTAGCTCTCCCGAGGGGGCGCTCCCTCCTCCACGTGGGCCAAGACTTTGGCTCGCAAAGGCTGCAGAAGGGAAGGATGTCCTGGGGAATGTTTAAGTCAGGGGCCCGACTGGCTGGTTTCGGTCACTCTGTGTCAGCAGGTCTGTTATTTTGGCTTGTGCCCCTGGGCTGTTTTTGGCAACACGAGGATGATGGAGAAATTTGGTGGGAAAAGGGATAGTTTGCAAAACGCCATTACTGAAATTGAGTGCTTTCCTTTAAAAAAAAAAAAGAGGCAGTTGAACCTCAGGGTCACCAAGTTCTTGGGTTGCCCAACAGGGGTAACAGATCTCAAGGTCAGGACCGAGCACCTGCATGCGGTGCTGGGGCCGAACAGGTGGGCGCAGAGCGCCGTGCTCTCTTGCTGTGCGTGGCCGCCCCTGCGGACGGCAGGCGATCCCCGCGTGGGAGCTCAGTTCTGCAGCATGGGCTCCGCTGCGACGGTTTGAGTGAAAACAAATCCCCGTTGAACTCGCTGCCGGAAAGCAGGATTTTGCGCTGCCCTTTCACTCGGGGTCTACTCGCGGTGCCTCGCAAAGGGATTCTCCAGCCCCGGAGGGCGCCGGGGCGGTGTGCGCGCCAGCAGCGGGCGGAGGGCTCCTCAGGCCAAGAGACGGGCCACTGTGGACTCGCAGCGGGGGCTTGCGGCACCCCCCCCCTCCCCCCAGTTGCTCTGCATCTTGAACTGGGGGAGCCCGAGGCGCCCGCCCCCCCTCCTCTGCCGGCCTCCGTCTCGGAGACTCCGGGAGAGCCAGGCAGCGCGGCCCAGGCGGCGGGCTGTGGTCAGCCTGTCCCCGCCAGCCTTCTGCAGTGGCTGACATGGACTCGGGCGATCTCAGAGCAAGGTATTATTTACCCTGCTGACGTCAATGAGAACATATTATCCGCTGTCCTTTTCTGGAGCCTGAAATGGGCACCAGAGCTCAGGGAACACAGCCACCTTCCAGACTTCAAATAAATTCCACTCAAGGCCCGATGAGGTAAAGGCCCCATCTCGTCCGTCTGACATTCAGATCACCCAGGCTCTTAGAAAACAAGTTGTTTTTATTTTAGTTCAATTTTATGTTGGAAACATAAAAACAGTACATTTTCTTCGCAGAAAATTACCCCCTTTAAATTACCATTTGATAACAAAGATCATTTATTAAACTGCATTTTAGGCAATTTTCTAACAGTGAGGGACAGGTTACATTTTGATTTTTTTCTTTTTTCACATTGGAGCTATTATGATTTGCACTCAAAATACCAAAGCTATTGAACTCACCATTTTTTCTTAGTAACTTAAAAAAAACACACAGAAAAAATAACTACAATTAGATTTTTATCAAAAGGAACTCTTTCACAAAACCAAAGACCAACCCTCCTCCTTTCAGAAATAAGCAAATAATCTTGCCCTTTCCACAAAGTGCAAATATCTCGATCACTTTTATTTCTTAAATTGCAGTCCCCAAAGAGAAGCGGACCTTTTCTTTCTGCTTCTTTTCCCTTCGGAGATCTTGGCCAAGGCGGGTTTCTTTCACCCCTAGTGGGAAGCCATCGCCACTCGCATGGCCTTGATGGAGATGTTGAACCGGCACACACATCACCCAGCCAGCAGCCGTCCGGGTTTTCACTGTTGGCTCATGCGACCGTATCCTAGGCCGGGGTCGTGTTCCTCCAGCGTGCTGTTTTGTACTTCCTCTTTCACAGCTCCCCTCTACCCACCCACCCTGCCTCTCTTCAATCGGAGTGGGTTACCTTTTTTCATCCCTAAAAGTGTCTAATCAGCACTTGTGTCTGAGGGGCCTTCCCTGTAAAGAAATGGTAAGGTCCCTCCTCGAGGCCAGGCAGCTTTCCAGAGTGTTCTCCAAGGGCCTCCCTGGGGCTGAGCCTGGGGGGTGGGGTGAGCAGAGGCTCTGCCGTCAGGGCAGGGTGGGCACTGCCACCATCCATCCACTCCTCCTACTTCTCTAGGAAGTGAGCGTCATGTGAGTAGAAGGAACCAGACATGCGGGCTGGGAGTCTGACCTCCGGTGGTTAAGCGGGCCCTTGAAGGATGCGGGGTCCAGGGCTGTAGCCTGTCCCTGCGGGCACCTCTTCCCCGAAGCCAGGCGGCTGCCAAGGGGAGAATCTGGTTGCAGGGCCAGAGCCCCCTTCAGCTGCTACTTTGCTAAGATGGGGCTCTGTTGGTGGGCTCACTAGGAGAGTCCAATGTTACCGCGGTGGGGGTGGTGGGGGAAGAGCCTGCGTGAGGAGCTGGAAAACCCCAGAGCCTGTCCCGGCCCCTCCCGCACGGGCTCTGCTCGCTCGGTCAGGTCACCTCAACTTTGAAGAGCCTTGGTTTCCTCAGCTGTGGGAGGTGAGCCTGTGTCCAGCTAACTTGATAGACTGGTCGTGAAATGTGTGCGGATCAATGTACACACGTTCTCACGCAGGGGAGCTGAGGGCCAGGGTGGGAACCGGCAGGGCTCCCGGCTGCGGGGTGGGGTGTGAGCGGGAGGCTCCGTGTGCGGGTAGGACACCTGCCTGCGTCCCCACCCCTTCCGGGCCACTTGCCGAGCAGGGCCACACCACGGCGCCTGGCAGAGGACGTACGTCCATGAAAAAAAAGTTTTTGTCTAGTTCAGAAACACAGACAGCTGATGCTGCTCTTGTCTTTCACCCTTCTGAAGATGTTTTGGGAAGTTTTTGTAGACTTAACACGGTGGTCAAAGATTCCTGCCTATACAAGGACTCCAACTTACTACGTGTTCTCCAGTTTTTACCTTTGAGGTCTAGGTACAGAGAGAGAGCGCGGCTCGGGCGGCTTCGGAGGAGGCAGTAGAGATGGCCCGGTGTAGGGGTACAGATGTGGCCAAGGTAAGCCCCCCACACGGGTCCGAGGACACGCTGTACGGTTTCTAGAGGAGGAGGAATGTGAAAGAGATCTGGAGTCGGATATGCTCTAAACCAAAAGGGTGCTTACGTGTAACTGTTGACAGAAGCTCTTAAACGTGATCCATGGACTCGCGCAGCGACCCCTGTACTTAAGTACCATGGCCTAGAGATGGGGAGGGCCCCGCCCAGGAAACCACTCATCTGATGTATCCACGTCCCTGAGCTGGTGGCCCTGCCCCGTGGTTTCTGGTTGGCCCCCCAGGCACCCCCTGGCTGCATACACCGGCTTCTTCCTGATTCCGGGTGCCCCCCGCTCCCCCTGGGGTGCTAATGACAGCGTGGGGACAGAGGGGGAGAGGCCTGGGGGTGGTGGGAGAGTGGCCCGTTTCCTCCCCAGAAGGGCACACGCCCTGTCCCACCTGACTCAGGAAACAGCCTAAGTCTCCAGCCGGGCTTGAGTTCTGAGGAACAGAGGGAGTCTGACTTTATCTTTCCGAGGGGGAGGAAGAGTTTGGTACAGGGTCCTTGGTGCCAGGTCTTAGTCCTCCTCCGTGGGCCCCAGACGTTAAGTGGATAGCGGAGACGGGGCGCTGCTGAGAACCTTCTGCCCCGTTCTCAAGATACCGCGAGGGCAGTGCCTGCTGGGGGGGGGGGGGTCAGTGTAGCCCCCCAGGGCCTTTAAAAGGGAGGATTTCTGTTGTGGTAACACGGCGTACTTGCCTTACAGGGACCAGCATATCAGTTGCATGTAAATCCCAGAGACTCACTTGCCCAGCTGGAAATTGCAGACCTAGTGCATTTCTCCCAAAGCAGAGACTGATACCCCTGGATTAAAAAAGAACATAAAAAATAAAAGTACCACGCGTATTGCACTTTTTGCCGAATGACATTTTTACCTCACGTTCATCTCACCAAAGTCTCTTCAGAGGAGCCTGGTTTACAAGACAATAAAGCTAATGATTACTATACAGTAGTGCACACACTGCTAACGTGAAACAGACTGGAAAGAGGATTTCAAAGAAGCCTCACAAACAGAGCAATACGAAGCCTTCTTCGTGTCATCTTAGTGTGTGTGAAAACTCGGAAGCGTACAGAGGTCACTACTTAGGGGACAGATCACACGGGGCTGGGAAAACACTTGACCACCACCAGTCTCCACTCACCAGCTTACATTTCAGTCAAGACGATCGTTGTGGAATTTATTGATTGCTGCTTGAAATGAGGAAAGCAAACAGGAGCTTAGGACATGGGTCCGGCAGAGTGGTTCACGCTGTTCACCGGGGGAGTGCCTCCCAGGCCTGGTGGCTGCTGGGACTGTCCCCCCGGGCCGGCCTCACCTGTCAGCCACAGCTCAGAGGTTTCCCAGGCTCATGGCCCAGGGCCTCTGTGTCCACCTCTAAGTAACATTCTTGTGACCCCAGTTTCAGGCCGGAAGGCATTTTAATTTCACAAATACTACAGCGCTTCTGTAGATTTTGGGAAAAAATCCTTTAGTCTAAAATCAAACCGTGTTTCATAACTGGCTTATTTTGCAGACTGAAAACAGGTTAGAGATAGTAACACAAGCATCGCTTAAATGAAACGATGTTCTCTATCTTCTGTTCTCTATCTTCTGAAACCATGAATCTGAAGCACGAGGAGGAATAAATAATCCACAGAATGAACAGAATTCATTCCTCCTGGGTTTTCATGAGTTGTGGCCATCAAAGAAACAGTCCTCCACCGCACCCTCTCTTGCTAACTAACCCTGGA